TCGGCGTGGGTTTCGTGCGGCAGTACTACGATATCTTCTCGAAGAACCGCGAGCAGCTGGCCGGCGTGTACCGCCCCAACTCGCTGATGACGTGGGTCGGGGAGCAGCTGCAGGGCAACGCGAGCATCATGGCCCGCCTCTCCAGCCTTGGCTTTAACGAGGCCCTCTTCAAGCCGGAGGACATCGACTGCCACCCCTCCCTCAGCAACGGCGTGCTGGTGGTGGTGAACGGCGAGGTGCTGCTGAAGGACGAGCGCCACCCGCTGAAGTTCAACGACGTGTTCCACCTCGCGCAGGACGGCGGCCAGTGGTACGTCTCGAACCAAATCTTCCGCATAGTCGGTGGGGGCGGACATTAAGAGCCACGCCACCCGCTCCCACACGCATAGAGAGAGCGAGAGCGAAAAGAGGCGAAGGGAGTTTTGCGCCCGCGTGTTCGCGCCCACGTACGTGTGATGTCTACGGCTAAAGGCCGAGCACTGGGAGACGGCGGGAGAGGAAAAAAAAAACAGAGGCAGGGAAAGGAAGTGGGTGGGGGAACGCGGATAAAAAGAAAGAAAAAGATAGTAATAATACAAAGAGGAGCAGGAAACAGAGTTGGAGAGGAGGAGGCAGCAACGACGCGAAGGAAAAGAGGCTTGAAAAAAAAAAGGAAGGGCGGGGCGGGAAGAGATGTGTGAAAAGACAGGGGGAAAAAAGGAATGGCGTTGTGCGCAGCCGTCTTGTTTATTCTACATCCCTCACTCTCTCTCTCTCGCTCTTTCTCTCTCTTTATGCGGATTCCTCAAGCGGTTTTTGCCCTCCTCTCTGTTTAGTTTGGCCGCCGTGACTATTACATCGCCGTCCGCCACCGCGTTTGCGGTCGCACGCGCGTCTGTGAGACTCCCCCTCAACTTCCCCCGTCCATCAAGATATATATATATATATATATCTTTCTTTCTTTTTGTTTTTGCCCGCCTTGCGTGGGTGTGTGCCGCGTGCGGGGCCTCCAATTTGTTATTCGCCCTTTTGCGGGCACAACAGCAGTAAAAGAAAAATATATAATAATGTGTGCGGAGGAGGTGGAGACTTGTAAAAACACGCGTGTTAAACCCGGCCTCGGCCTTCTCGCGTGGGACGGCGTGCCACCGCCGCGCGGCAGCAGCAGCGCCTCTCGTTGGCGACTGCTGTCGGCTGCCGCCGAGAACGCGTCATGCGCCGTCTTGTGTATTTTCCCTTTTTCCCCCAAGTTCCTTCTCTTTTCTCTTCTGTTTCTTGTTGTCCTTGTCTTTTGTTCGTCTGCCTGAAGGGGAAAGCACACACGGAGGAGGGGAGGAAGGGGAACAAGTACAGGCATAAGGGCACCCGTTGTGCCGCCTTCACAGGGGGAAATACACATTTCCACGGCTGCAGTGTGTGTTTGTTGTTGTTGTTGTTGTTTTCCCCTCAATGGTTTCTCTTGCCGCTGCTTCAATGGACTGCCCCGGCGCGGTGCCTCTCGCCGCCGACGCTGGGGACTGCAGCGGCCAGGGCTCGTTTGAGCAGGCTTGGCTGAGGCATCGCGGCCGCCACCCCAGCGAGGCCGCGACGCAGCTGCGCTCCCTGCCGAAGGTGGAGTTGCACTGCCATCTGAATGGCAGCATTAGCGCCCCGCTGCTGCGCCACATGGAGCGTCTGCGGCGAGAAGAGAGCCCCACCGCCCGTACGGCGCGGCAGCGGGAGGCGACGGGGCTGCTTGGGAAAGGCGTTGAGGCGATGGGGGGGATGCCGGGGCAGCTCAGCGACCCCGGCGAGCGCATGAAGTACTGCTTCAGGGTTTTTGATGACATCTACAAGGTGATGACCAACACCGCCTTCACACGGATGGCGGTGCAGGATTTGCTACTGCACTCCGCGGCGGAAAACGTGTTTCTCCTGGAGATACGAACCTCCCTGCGAGATGGCCTATACGCGACTCCACACGCCGCGGCGCACGCGATCGAGGCGGAGCGTGTCACAAAAAAAGCCTACGTCGAGGCAGTCATTCACACCGTGGAGCACCTCATGCACGGTGGTGTGGTGGATTTTGAAACCGGTGCATTGCTGCCCCGCGGCGCCCCCGTTTCCCCCGCATGGTGGTCCTGCTTCCAGAAGCTGTACGTCTCACTTGCGCCCAAGGCGATGGGCGTCGCTTGCGAGGGGGACACGGAGGCAGACACAGCACGGGTAACGTCTGGCACCACTCTGGCACAGGCGGAAAAATTGTTGGAGAGGCTCCATGACCAGCTCATGCATCGCATGCATATTCGCCTCATTGTGTCCATTAACAGGGGTCACGGCGCCGCGGCGGCGTGGGAAGCTGTGACGCTTGCGAAGGAGGTTCAAAAGGAACAACTGCAGCGCTTTTATGCGTCCCTGCAGGTAGACACTGCCGTCACTCACGGCACGCGGCAAACGACGCTGACGCAGCACGGCGAGGTGGTTCGGCGAGTCTGCTGGGTGACGGGCGTGGACTTCTCCGGCTACTGCGGCAAGAATCACTTTGCGGACTTCGTCCCGGCGCTTGCGGAGGCGCGGCGCGGCGGCGCCGCTGCAGCATCGTCGTCCTCCCCCTCCTACGGCTCACTTGGGATCACCCTGCACGCGGGCGAGAAGGACGACGCGGAGGAGTTGACGGCGATGGTGCAGTTTGCCCCGGAGCGCTGGGGGCACCTGGTTTACACGGACCCGGCGAACCTGGCCGCCATCATCGCCCGGCACGATGCCATTGAGCTCTGCATCACCAGCAACGCCGTCACAGGGGGCTACGCGGAGGTGGCGCGGCACCACATTGGGGATATTCTCCAACAGCAGCAGGGCCGCACGGCGGAGGCGGAGTGCGACGGGATGAGCCCCGCCCTGCTGCAGGCCCTTACGACCGAGTCGAGCCTTGCGGCGGCGATGCAGTGTCGGGTGCGGCGGCGCTTGGCCAGATGGCGGCAGTCGCCGGCGTTGAGTGGCGCGGCGACGGTCATCCCCAACGTCTCCTTTCACACAGACGACCGTGGCGTCTTCTGCACCTCCGTGACGGCGGAGCTGGAGTTGCTGCTCCAGCACGGATGCCTGGCGGGCGGGGCCGAGACGCGTGCGCTGTCGGTGCAGGCCATGTGGGCACTTCAGCGCCTCTCCGTGCCGCACTTCTTTGAGCTCCCGCTGGAGGTGGTGTACAGCTGCACCTACCCGTGGCGGGAGTGCTGCTGCGGCTGCGGCGGCGGCGAGGCCCTTGCGGCCCACGTGCGCGCCCACGTGGCGTCCCTTGACGAGGCCGCACGCGCCGGCCTGAGTTGTGCGGAACTCAGTTGGCTGCTAAAACAATTTGACGACATGTGAGTTGGCAGGACGGCCAGTCCTCTTCCGCGCGACCCCGCCCAGCAGGGACGGACGTGTTCTACGGCGGTGGCTGGCGTGTGCGGGTCACCGAGCCCATTCGAAACGAGACGAGGAAAAACAAGCATTGCCGAATACAGAGGGAGAGAGTGCGGGCACAGTGGGCGCGGGGTAAACCCTCTCTACTGCGCTGGCACTCCTTTTCCTTCTTTGCTTGCCTTTTTGTTTTCTGCGTTGTCCGTCCACCTCCTATGCATGCAACGCGTGTTGCCTGCTGCTCTGTTTTTCTTCTACATTGAGGGCAGGAGTTACACCGTCATTGCCCGCCCCCGCGTGTCACGCCAGAAGAGGAGGCGGAAAGGAGGGAGGGGGGGAGACGGGGGCCCATTGCGCCGCGCAACTCCCGCCAGAAACACAGTAGCAGCAAGAAGAACAACGAAGGAGCACACGCACGCGCACACACGCATACATACATCTGTTTATATAGAGCCAGCAAAGTGTGCGTGTGCGCACTGCAGACATCCACACACACACACAGAGAGAGAGAGAGACACAGAGAGGAGAGAGCGGGCGCGCGAGTGGAAGAGGAAGTCACAGTGGCGCCTTCCGCATCTCTGCCGCCGACAAAATAGTTAAAGAGAGGGGCATTGCAAGCAATTCAGTTTGCGGCCCGCTGTGTCGGCAAGCGGGTGCGGTCACCACCTGCATTATTGCTACTACTACTACGAGGACGAGGACCACGCCAATAGCTGCGCATTGGCCACTGCGACGGTGGGCGGCGCCAAAAACGAGACACAGCAGTACACATGCCGCCAAAGCGGCAGCAGCCGCGGAAAAAGCAGTAGGAAACGGGCGGGTGCTTCGCAGGCCGCGGAAGCCAAACTGGCACGAACGGCAGCGTCATCCGCCGCACGGCGTGTGGATGCAGGCAGCGCATCCGTGCAAAATGCCGTTGGGTCCTCCGCCCCGGCAGCAAGCGCGGGTCCTACTGCCGCCGCGGAGACGCAGGGGCTCAGGAGGGCGGCGAAGCGTCTGCGCGTAGACCACGACGCGGACGACGTCGACGAGGATGTCACCCTTGAGCAGCTGGGCAGGCAGGCGTGCCAGGCTGCCGCGTCGCCGCCACTGCAGGACCCCGCGGCTGCAGCAGCGCTTGCGCCGGCGACGCCCACCTCCTCCGCGGCATTGTTGTCGTCGTCGTTCCTGCCGCTCGCGGCGGCGGCGGCGGCGGCGGAGGAGGAAACGCGGGACGGCGGTGGGGGAGTTCCGCCGCGGGGGGGCACCTCCACCCCGCCGCCGCCGCCGCCGCGAGAGGCAGCGACGACGGCGACGAGCCCGGAGCACTTGACGAGTCGGAACTCCCACACCACCCCGCTGCTCTCCTTCGCAGGCAGGGCAAGCGGCACACCGGGCTCGCCGCCGCGCCGGGAACACATCCCGTACATCTCGGACGATGATAAAAACAATGCCGCGAGTGAGCGGGCCAGCATTGCTCTTAGCCCGGCGGAGCGGCCCTCGACCAAGTTGATTCGGAAGGCGGCGGCGGCCCGTCCTGCCGTCTCTCCGGCAACGCTGTGGATTTGCATCGACGACGACGACAACGACGAGGAGGAGGAAATCAAAGTCATCTCCTGCCACTTGTCCCCCGCACCGCCCGCCGCCGTCCCACCACCACCGCCGCCGCCGCCGCTGCCGCCAACACGAACAACGCCACCGCCACCGCCGCTTCCAGCTCGACGAGAGCCCATCGCCGGGGTGCTGCCGCCGACGTTTCGTCCACGCAAAGGCCCACTGCAGGCGAACAAACCCCCGCCACGAACGCTGAGTCCACTCCCGGAGGGGTGCTTTATCTACGACGACGACTTCACCGACGACGAGGAGGAGGAGAAGAGCAGTGGTGAGGTGGATGCCCGCAAGGGCGCAGGCAATGGTGCCTCACCGCCGCCACCGCCTTCCCACGCGTCAACCACATGGGCCAAACATCTTGAGGTTAGCACAGCCGCACAACTGAGCTTTGGGACGCTGCCGTACCATGCGAGCCAGTCATACATCATAGACGATGATATTAGTGGCAGCAGTAGCTTGAGTGGTAAGACCCAGACGGGCAACAAAAACGGCGACTTAGACGAGTTGGAGGAGGACCTCAATCGCAACCTGGACGCCGCACGGCGGCCGCAGCAAGCCGCCGACGCTGGTCCGCCGCAGCCTCTGCGTCTGCCTCCTCCCCTGCCCACAGATGAGCCCACCCTGACCGCCTCGTTCCGGAGCGAAGTGAGCAGTCCAGTGCGTAGCGTGCGAGATTTTCTCTTCTCCTCGCGTCGTCGGGCCTCGGCGGATTGGAACAACGCGTCCTTCAGCTCTCTCACGCCGGGCTCAGCGGCGGCAAAAATGTCTGCCCCCACCACCGCCACCGCCACCAACAACAACAACAACAACAACAACCACGACAAGACGGTGGTGGGGGAGGAGGAGGAGGAATCGAACGTGAAGCCCAGGCGCGACGTGGAGCGGCTTCGCCCACTCTTCGAGAAGCGCTTCACCCGCAAGTGTTTTTGTGACACCGTCGAAAGCGTGGTGTCGCGGCTGCATTGCCTCGACCCTGGGGAGTTCTGGCAGGCCTTCGTCACGGCCGAGTACGTTGGCGAGGGCAGCTTTGGCATCGTCTGGCGTTGCCAGACTGTCGACGGTGACCTGGTGGCTGTCAAGTCGTGCCCCATCAGTTTTCACTCACGCGGAAGCATCGACGACGGCTTCTCCGTGTTGCGGGAAATCGCCATTATGCGTTTCCTCAACGAGCACGAGGTGCCGTATATTCTCCCACTGCACAGTGCCTTCTTTGTGCAAGCGCGCGAGGCCCTTCCACCAGACGTGGTGGGCGCCGTCGAGTGGAAGGCACGCCTCGCCAGGGAAGCGGAGGAGCGCGAGCGACGGAAGCGACTACGGCGGCGTCCGACGAGGAGATGCCAACAGCTGCTCATGTGGCCAGAGCAAGGCGAGGATGCGGAGCTGGAGCCAAGCGAGACGGAATCGCAGCTGGCGGAACGCATGCGGCACGAAAAGGTGCGCCTTCCACGGTTCTTGTCCATCTCTGTGGAGGATGCCACGGAGTGCGACGCGACGATTTTTCTGGTGACGGAGTTGTGCGATGGTGACGTGGAGAGCATTGAGCGGCACGACAGCGTCACGAAGGGCGTCGCCTTCTCCGTCAGCTCCGCGCTCTCGGCGATGCATCAGCTTGGGCTCGTGCACCTGGACATTAAGCCAAGCAACATCCTGTTTGCCTACGAGAACAGCCCCTCGCAGCTGCAGTACCATCCCCAGCGGCAGCAGCAGCAGCAGCAGCAGGAGCCATCCACCTTGGGAACCACCGCCAGTGCGCCTTCCTCGCTCTCGACGCCGCCCTCGGTGGGGGTGATGCGTGTGGCCAACACCCCTACGGCGGGTTCCGTCAAGTTTTACTTGAGCGACTTTGGCAACTGCCGCATCGTCGGGCCAGGCGCGATGGACGAGGTGACGGGGGTCTTTGGCACCCTCGAGTACATGGATATTAGGGCCCTGCAGGACAAGACGTGCAGTCGCGCGACGGACTGCTACAGCCTTGGCGCCACCCTCTACGAGCTGATCTACTCGCGGCGCCTCTATCCACCGTGCAAGAACCCCAAGTGTGTCTCAGAGGACGACCACACGCGACACTGCTACATTGAGGCGGCGCGGCGGCCTGTTGTGGTGGAGCCGCCGCCCGCCTCCGCTCAGCCAACGAGTACGCTGCAGAAGGTGATGGCTGGGCTACTGGCGCTCGAGCCGAAGGAGCGATGGACGGCGGAGCGGTGTCGCTCCTTCTTTCTGATTAACAGCGTCGCGGGCGCCACGACTACCCCGTCACCGTGACGCGTCCCATTGCGTCGGCCGCCTCGCTATGTGGCAAACGCCGGCGGTGGCGGTGGTGTGAGTCTTTGATGCAGCGGGGTTCTGTTGGCCGGCGTCACCAGCACAAATGAAGTCCGACTGTCACGAGCAACGGAAGCGCGCAAGGAGGAGGAAAAGCACATACACGCGGCGAAGAGTAGAAGTCATAGTGGTACAACAATGCATATATGTCTTCTTTTCCGCCTGCTCTTTCCTGCTATATATCTGTGTATACGGGTGGCGTGGCGATGTTGTGTATTTTGTGCTTCTTTGTTAAAGCGGCTTTGTGTGTGTGTGTGTATTTGCGCCATTGTGCTTCTGCGTCCACCACACCAATTAATAGTGAGTTGCAACGGATACGGTGGATTAGCCCCTTTGCTTCTTTTCTGCGTTGGTGTGTAACACCTTTATTCTTTCCACTCCAATTTCTCTCTCTCTCTCTCTTTATCCTTCTATTTATTGTATTATTATTATTTTTCTTTTGCCTCTTCGCATGTGGGGATTGTCGGTGTCAGGCCGAGGAGGCGTTCGTTGCAGCGTGTCATTGGCGACTGGCGGCAGAAATTCTGCCGCAGGAGGCCCGTGCATTCGTAGAGGAATTATATGTCGCTCTTGCAGCGCATCGCACGCGCAGCGGCGTTGCCGCCGCAAGTTGTTGGGCTGCAGCAACGTCATTTCTGCCGTTTCACGCGGCGTCGCATGCTGGGCAGCGGCGCAAGCAGCAGTGAAGCCAACCGTCGTTGCGGCCGCGCCGGCAACGGTGGTGGTAGTAGTGGTATTAGTAGCGTTAGTGGTGGTGGTGCGGGGGGTGGGCGGAGAGGCGGTCGCATGACGGGCAACGTGCCGCCGCCGCGCCCGCCCCCGACGTCGCCTGCCGCCACGCCGGGCGGGGTGCAGTACGGCGAGCGGCGGCAGGCGGCGATGGACGCGGGGGAGCGGCGACGGCGGACGGAGCAGCGGGCCACGGACGCGCAGCGACGCGGCGAGGAGCCGCCGGACGCCGCGGCGGCGTCCGAAATGCGCCGCTGGTGGCCTGAGGAGAACCAAAACTGGTCGGGGCGCATGTTCGCCTCCCCGTTCGACAAGAATAAGAAGAAGCTGGACGGGATGTTTGTGCCGGAGATGACGGCGGTGCAGAGCCCCACCCGGCCGTCTGAGTTGAGCTACGCGGAGGACAACTTCTTCGTCAACCCCGACTTCCACATGGCCGATGAGGTCTTCGACGAGGCCCGCCGCTTCGTCCCGCCCCCGAGCTTCGACCCCGCCATCGACGAGGTGGACGACGACGGCTTTGTGGACGGGCAGGTGATGCTGGACGTTCAGAAGGCGGTGGAGGAGGACAAGCGACGCCTGGAGGCCTTTGGAAACCCGCTGCTTGTCGAGGACCAGGTGGACTACCTTCTCCAGCCGCAGCGGGAGGGGATGGAGAACATGCAGCAGCGGCAGGAGTTTAACGGCTTTGTGCACTGGGGCCTCCTGCATGGCGCCCACATGATCCTTGAGGAGAATCACGACTACAAGAAGGCGCACGAGTTTGTGAACCGCTACATGCGAGACATTGACATGTTTCAGAAGTGGCTGGAGCACCCAAAGGTGCGGGCGCATATTCAGAAGAAGTTTGGCGTTGACATGCACGCCAAGTTCGATAAACTTATGGCTCTTGTCATGGCAATGTACGCCCGCTCAAAGATTCAGGTCTACGAGGACGACCCGGCGGGGGCGCTGAAGTCCCTAACCGCCTGCATGGGGTTCATCAGTGAGGGCGCCGACCTAAAGAAGGAGCGGCATCGCAAGGCCATCGGCGCCGTTCTCGCCGCCCGCGGGATGGTGTACTGCAAGCTGAAGTCCTACGAGCGCGCGGAGGACGACCTTACGCGGGCCCTCTCCTTTGTTAACCAAAAGCGGTGCGCCACACTCTTTCAGCTGCGAGCGGAGGCGCTGGAGGCGCTGGGCCGCATTGAGGACGCCCGCCTCGACGAGGAGCGGGCGGCGGAGATTTGGGAAAACGCCGAGGTGATCTCCCCCGGCATGGAGGGAAGGCCGTACAAGTTTGTCCTGTAGGATAGAGAGAAGCGAGAGCGAGAGGAGGCGCGGGTGCGGGTGCGGGGGGAGTAGTGGTCTGGCAGCCTCAGGCTGATGCGTGCTCCTTGCGAGAGTGAGGAAAGGGGCAACCTTTACCGAGCAGAGACACAGCACACATATGTATGTATATATATATATACATGCATGCGTGTATGTTTCTTCCTTCTTGCAGGAAAGGGCGAAGAGCCAAATAAAACCCGTCCGCGTGCCGTCTGTGCACGTGCGTGTGTGTGTTTGTGTGTGCGTGCCTCTTCATAACTGTCTTGGGCCGCAGGGTGGCGCCTACCCCCACCCCTCTTTTTTTTTTTTGCGCGACACGCACGTCTCGCACTATCCTTCCCTCCCTTTTCCCCCACCCCACCTCGTTCTCATCACCCACCGTCGCCGATGCACAAAAAAAAAAAAAAGTTTTATCTGGGAGTCGCTGCAAAGGCAGGTGCGTGCGTTTATATATACACATATATATTTGTATTTTTTTTTACGCATACACACCCACCCAGAGAAGGTAAGCATAGAGAAAACACGCATGCTGCGGCGCCGTATCGTTTTGCCAGTGCTCTCCTCAGCGGGGTTGCAAGCAGTGGAGGCGAGTAAGCGACACACGCGGCAGTCCGGGGGGTTTCAACAGTTTTCGTATCTCCCACCTGGCAACCATGCGCCGCGGATGCCGTGGCTCCGTGACGCGGTGCCGCCGGCTTCGACTATAAAAATGGCAGCGTACGACGACGCCGCGCCGTCCCACGCGGACCCCGCAGACTTGGAGGGCATTCTCAGGGCGCCCCGCAACTCGTCCGACCCGGTGGCCGCCGCTTTGGCACGGGCCGCAGCGGAGTCCGCTGGGCCGCTGCAAACGACTGCAGCGAAGGGCGGTCCGCTACGAACCACCGCGGCCTGCCGCATGCCTGCCCTCGCCGAGCCAAACCTGGACACTCGCATTGGCGACATCTTGAAGGTTAGTGACTCCCTCGCCGGGGAAATGCTGCCTGACGTGGTGCGACTACTTATAGAGCCCAGCGCGGATGGGGTGGAAAACGTCTCTCTCAGTGATTTTGCGGCCATGCAGCCCAAGCGACAGCTTGCGGCCCTCGCCGGGAGGAAGCAGTGGCATGAGTGGCTTATTGAAAGTGCCCACTACAAACAGGTGGCTCGCCTGGAGCTGGAATCGCCGTACTACGATCTGCGGGCGCTGCGGCAGGCGGGGGTGACCACGTTGTACCAGTGGGCGGAGCAGCCGGAGCTGGTGAAGGTGTCGTCCTACACACGCAGCCTGCTGGATGCCGCGGTGGAAAAAAGTGTCGAGGCCTACGTGGAGGAAGTAGTCAAAGTAGTTAACACAAGCAACCGGCTCTCGGAGGCGTTGGTGTCGTGGGCAGCAGACACGGTGAGTAGCTTTGTCCTGGAGTCGCTGCGCATGACTGTAGAGCAAGCCGCCTCCCAGCGGCAGGCGACGGGGTTAGGAAACTCTGTGGTAGGGACGGAAAATACAAACGAAACCATCGCGGAGGAACCTGCGATCGCCGCGATGGGCACCACAGCCGCCTCCGCGCGACCAGGGCACGTCTGCACCTTGGAGCACTACCACCAACTCGCAAGAAAAGTGCTGGCGAGTGTGAGAAAAGAATACATGGCTCAGCGGCACGCCGATTATGGTGGAAATGCTGCCGGGAAAACGCTGCCGGATGGCCAGGCCGAAGCGGAGATTCGTGAGAAGGCATACGCCACTCTCAATGAGGCAATACTGAAGGTGTTGGAGTCGCAGGCTCACAATATGCCAAAGGAGCTACACGCATTACGCGATCATGGCTTTTTAGCGCTGGAACGGATCCCTGGCTTACTGCGGCAGGCGGCGTCCGTGCTGCAGTTGCGAAACGTGCCTGTACGTTATTTCGTCTTTCACAGCACCGGGGAGCAGGAGAAGGATGAATTGGAGAGACACGACTTGGAAGTGTCAGCCCCTGGCGGCGCCGATGCGCCGCTTCCAGGCACAGCCCCCACCTCCTCGATGAATGTGGCGGCGCCAACACTAACAAACGGCATATTTTTAGCGGGGATCGACAACTACAACGTCAAGCTTGGGGAGTGGCCTGGGCACCCGCAGCCCTCGCCGGCGGCCGCCTCCGCCGCGTGGCCGGGAGACACGGTACAGAACGAGTACTTCTCGTTGCTGCATCGCCTAAAACGCCACACCACGCGTGTGGCACGCACGACCCTGTTTGAAATTATCAAAGGAGCCGATGAGTTTCGCAATGGCTTTAACGCGGCGGAATCGCTTGGGCTGCAGCAGCTCTTTGGGACGGCAAAGCTTGTGGAGGAGCGCCTCAGCTCTGTGCTGAACTGCTGCTCCACCCCGCCCTCCATCGCTAAGCCGGTGCATTTTGTAGAGGCTGGCTACTCCTGTGGGAAGACTGCCGTCTTGGAGCGTCTCTCCAGGCGCATGTCTGAAGCCGGCAAGAAGGCCGTTATTGTACGCTACACAGGGGCCACGATGCCATTTACCCCGGGCCTAGACGATCACCCGCTCGCCTTCTCCTCGCGCTTCTGGTTCCGCGTTGCCCTCGCCTCCTGCCCGTACCTAATACGCACCGAGGAGCTCTTTACGCGGGCCCCCAAGTCGGTGATGTGGTGGGCTAACCGCCTCAACTGGTCGTGGGAGTTGTACCAAAAGCGGATTCGGCTTTATGGCAACTGCGAGGGCACCCCGTCCTTGCTGCACGCGGTGCTCGTGGATGACATGGACCGTGTGCTGGATGCCATGGAAACTAGACTGGTGGCCGCCGCCACCGTGTCCACGACAGGCATGCTCAATGGTGTACCGAGCCTCACCTCCCAGGCTGGCTACGCCGCAGGGGCAGAAGCTGCAGAAGCAGATGTGCTGACAACCACAGCAACCGTGCTGAGGTCGGTAAATCACAGTAACCTGGGCAAAGCGCACAGCCACGACAAGGATAGTAAAACGAAGAAGGAAGACGCCTCCGCTGTCTCACTAGCATCCATGCTGCACCTCAGGCATTACACGCCCTTCCACGTGGATGCTGTGGAGGCGGCTTTAGCCAAAGTAACCGTCGCAGTTGGGCAACTTGACGTGGTTTTCACTGGTCATCGTGCAAGCAGGCTTCTTCTTACGCATGCGGATACACCGGTGCGGCGCTACTTTATTCCATTGTCCAACGGTATTGGACTACAGCAACGACTTCGTGTCTTACCGCTTGTATCTGTTTTATACGCGTTGCATCAGCGATCGCGTCTAGAGTTTTCAGGGCTCATGTATGAGGTCCTTAAGAACTGTCCCGGTCTGCTTGGTTACACCCTCGATGTGTTTTGGTCGGGGCAGGCGGCGTTGATGGACCTTCGCGGCGGTGCCCCGCGTCTCATGCAGTGGAGCGGCACCCACCCCTTGCTGCGCAGCTACGTGCCCACCGAGCTCTTTGCAGAGCTGCCGCAGCGCAACTACCTCCTGCAAAACTTACCAGAGGCCCGGCTGCGATTGGTGGAGCTGCTGCAGCGGCAGTTAAGCAGTCCCACGGGGTTTCTCACGACGGGGGTGGACACCACCGTGCAGGATGAGCGGGATGGCTTTGTGGTTCCCTACAATCATACAACGTGTCAGGTGCACCCCTTTGCGCTCTTTACGATATTCACCTACCAGGACATGTTGGAGTCTCCACGTGAGACGATGGTGGTGCGTGCCTGGGGCGAGGTGTGGGCGGAGTACTGCGCTGTCGTGAGCGCCATGGGTACCACGACTGAGCGCAAGCGGGACGCCTTGCGAGTGCTTCTGCATGGGGCCTTGCTGCTGCGCGTGGTGGCGGTGTCTGGCGCGCAGATGGACCTCAACATGAAGATTCCACCCTACGGGTTTCCTTTGCTGGCCTCCCCAACACGTGTGAAGCAGCGGGGCGGGGCAGAGCCGGTGGCGGTGAAGGCCACTCCCGACACTGTGCGCAAGGCGGCGGCGGCGTACAAGGCGTTCTTTTCACAGACGGAGCAGACGCACATCCCGTTCCGCCCAAGTGTCGGGCTTAACGGCGGGTGCGACGTGGTCTGCATCGCAGGGACGACACTGGCGCTCTACGACCTCGTGACGACCCCCGAGGCGCTGCAAGGCATCGGCTACCGTTTTGCGGAGGCGCTGTTGGGGGTGCTGCACTGCTTGGGGAAGAATGTCCTGCCGCACAACAAGGTTCGTCAAATTCACTACGTTAGTGTCGTTTCCATTGACCAGACGATGTTGGCGTCGCCGCATGGGGGAAAACTCACCCTCGCCGGGGGGGCGGCGGCGCCCACGGCCGTCGACGACGTCTTCGCCGCTCCACCCAGCCCTGTTGTGCCGTACCTGTTGGACCTGAGCGCCGTCTTTGAGGACGACGTGATTGACCGCCTACGTGCGTTGCAGGAGACGCTTGGGATTGGCAAGGAGTTCCGCACGCTGAATGACCTCCTGGACGAACTAGAGAGCGCGCACCAGGTGACCGTGCACCAGGACGTGGTTGCCTCGCAGGAGGAGCTTGAGTCCCTCCTCTCCACGACGCTGACGCAGCTCGTGCCGGATGCCACGGTGCTGCCGGCGTACACGGCGGAGGTCGTCTCCCCTGACACGCTTCTGATGGATCTTCTGGTGGATGAAGAGGAGGAGAGTTTTCGCGGCGCGGAGGTGGAGGAGGTGCGCAGCGACGCCGTACTGGCAAAGGAGGCCGCCACGCCGGAGTCCTACGCCGACGCCGAGCACGTGCAGGAGTCCGCCGAGTTACTAGAGGCGCTGCTCAACGACTCCCTCACGGAGCTGCGGCCGTTGACGGCGGTGGAGCGGGCCACCAACGACACCGCGCAGGCGGCGCTGCTGACGGACATGGCCACGGAGGATGCCATCAACAACAACATAGCCGTCACTGCAGAGTTCATGGGCGGGCGGCGGGCGGCGGCGTCCACGACCCCGGCGCCCGCGCAGGAGGACGCCCTGGCGTGGCTGCACGACATCGTCACCCCGGCGGCGGCGGCGGCCGACGGGCGCGAGGGCGGGCCGGGGCAGGGGCGGGTGACGGTGACGACGACGCTCTCCGGCAACCCCCCGCCGCCGCACGCCGCGGGCGGTGGGGCCTTCGTTTCACTCGACGCCGAGGAGGAGGAGGAGGGCGACGACGACGGCGACGAAGGCGACGGCGGCGAGGAGGCCGAGGAAGTCGAGGAGGACGAGGGAGAGGCGGGAACGCACGCAGGACAGGCGGCGCAGCCAAAGCGAAGCAGAAAGACCCCCAGTCATGGCGGCGGCGGCAGCCGACAGCGATCGCGTCAGCCGCGGCCCAGGTCTCAGCGGGCGAAGTCGAAGCAACAGAAGAAGCCGACGGCCTCGGTGTCAGCGGGGCGGAAAAGGCCCGGTAGCAAACACAGCAGCACGGCCGCAGCGGTGGCGGCGGCGGCGAAGCGAAGAGGTGGAACGTCCAAGACGCGCACGAGCAGGACCGCCGCTTCCTCCCCTGCTCCCTCCGCTGCCGCGGGAGGAGGGAAGAAGCGGCGGAGAAAGTAAGCCCGCAGCCATGCAAACAAAAAATAAGCCGGTGAGGGAAACAATTCTCGTTTAGAAAAGGTGCTGCGTCTGTGGATGCGCCGCACGCAGGGAGTGCGTCGGCGCCGGAATAGGCAGGAGGAAGAGGGGGTAGAAGAAGAAGGGAAAAACGGAAAAGTGTACATTTCTTTTGTCTGTGTCAAGCGGTACGGGGTGCCAGCCAGCAGTACTGTTCGTGTATGTTTTT